TGCACGTGAACGCATGTAAGGAGGTACAAGATTAATCACCTGCATTCGCCGGGTCTGTCGCAGTAACCCTGACTGGAGAGGCAGTCGGGCGCGCAAATGGGCTCAGAGCAGAACATGCCTTTCCAACCGGGATCGCAGGAGCACTCGAAGCTCACGTTACATCTGAAAGTGAAAATTTCAACGTTGAGTCCCTGTCTGTCTATCGAACGGAATCGATCGATGGTCACGAGAGACTGCTCCAAGCGAGGAAGCGTTTCGTGTTACACGGAAATTAGGCTCCTTCGTTCAACCAAGGTGAAAGCAAAGCGAAGCTGATACGAACTGTTGTTATTCAAGCAGCGTTCAATTTATATCGTACGTGTGCGGCACGATAAATCGTGCCGCATTATGGGCACATGGGCGCTACATCGATATCTAGTATAATTGTTATGGAATTATCATTTATTACGTATTACGAGAAATCGATCAACAATTAATTAAAGAGTTTAATCTTTTAATGAATATATTATGAATAATATTCGATTTTCTCACTCACCGTATGTATGCAGAAGAGAAATGTAAAATCTATGTAAAATCTAAAAATATATCTCTTAGTAAAAATAATACAAAAATATATCACATCTTATTTGAAGAAAAATTTTATAAAATTAAACTATTGAAAAATCGAATAAAAAGAATCTTAATGATATATTGATGACAAAAATTGACGATCTATTAGTTACGTTATAAGACACAAAGAGTTCTAAATTAAATGAAATAATTAAAGTTATACATAATTAAAATTAACTATTATGAGTTAAGTTAATGGGGGGTAATGTAATATAATTAATTTAATTTTTAGTAATAATTAAATATGTGAATTTAGTAAAATATATTAATGCTCTATTATTATTATACTTATATTATACATACATATATATTATTTAATGTGTAATATTTGATTTTAATAAAGAAAATAGATATGTATAATATTTTTTGCTTGATTGTAGTTCAAATTTCTTGCAAGATTTGTTATGTTAATGTAAAGCTTTGAGAAATTTATATTCTCTAAAGTGCACTTTTTCTTTATTGCATATATCAAATAATTATACCTTCCATGCTGACATCCTGGTAAAGCCACGCATTTATCGCACAGTTCGCCGTAGAAACCCAACTTACAACGACATTCTCCTGGTCGTCGGCAGTAGCCTTGAAGAGGATCACAACCCTTGCGGCAAATTGGCACATCACATAGATCTCCAGTCCATCCTAAATAATGTTTTATTATAATTGATGAAAATATGCCATACCGGTCTAAGCTGGATGTCAGGTGCTTCTTCTATATAATTATGTATGAATATTTTGTATAAGCTACGTATGTAGATTTTTTATTAAAAATTTCGGCGCGCAATCAAAAATCTACATAATGTAATGTATACCTATAGAAAATATTCACACATAATTATATAGAAGCATCCGACATCCAGTTTAAACCGCTACGGTATGTTATGTACTCATCGGTTTGAATTCTCACGGTCCAATAAGAATTGATATCGTTTTATTATAATGTTATATTATATTAGAAAAAAATAATACAAATAATATTATACAAATTTTAATCATTTATCATTAATTTTTATCTTATAAATTGATTTAATTTACTTTATAATTTAGCTATATAAAGTATAATTTCTATTTGATCTAATTTATTGAATTACTCTCTTTATACCTGGCAAACATTTTACTTCACCAGCTTCATCGCAAATATAATGCGAATTTGGATGTTGAGATGCCGGTATTTCGCACGCTTGCTTTTTCCATTTTGGAACATACCTATATAGATAATCAAAGTTAATAAAATCGATTAAAGCTTATAAATTAGTAATAAGATTTTATATTCCCGTCAATCCGAGGAAATAGTGACATAAATACCTATCGATATCTATTAATATGTAAAAGTTGCGAAATGTCATCGCGAATGTTTCTTTGCAGATTCTTTCTTATTTTAATAAATCAGATGAACGCTTATTAATAGATCTACAAATATAATACGTTTTCTCGTGTGAAAAAGAAGTTTTAATCACTATCGTGCCAAGGAAAACGACGTTCGAGAATGGTTGAAGAATGTGTGAAGTTGATTAACGCACAGAAAGGATTACCGCCCACTTAAGAGATAATCTATCTTAAAAATCACTTAGTTAATGCATTCTTGAAGATAAGAAACTGTCGATTTTTTTTAGATAGAATGACATTGACACAATTAGGATTCAACAAAGCCTCGTGTGCTATTTTAATCATGATTTATATCCTTTTAAACTTATTGATTATATCAGGGAAGATTAAGATTAAGTGATTCATTAAGAAAATGAGGAAAAAATTTATTTTTATTATTAAAATGAGATAACAATTAAAATTTTTTGATTGTTATTGAAAAATCTTTCGATAATACAATAATAATACAGATTTCAAAAAATTTAAATTTATAATTGTATAATAATTATAATTTTGTAATAAATATGATAATTTTCAATTCTGTAATAGAGATAAATCTATAACAAATGACAGACCTTAGAAAAAAGTTCTTTCAAGTTTATTTTTATAATAGACACAATCTTACAATATATAGACACAATAGGTATACAGTACGGACAAATTATTATAATTGTTCAATGTTTAAAAAATTTAAAATTATAAAATTGAACTTGGAATAATTATATAGACATATATATATTGAATTTTATATAAAAAACTATTTAGGATTAGCCACTATTTTTAAATGAATACATACGATCTAAGCAGATTCATGCTCGCGATTTACAATACCTGGGCCCGACGGCGAGTCCGACGGGCAGCACGGAGGCTCCTAACACTGCAGCAATCCTAATTAATCCATTGTTAGCATTCGATTGTGCAAGTTGATGAGGAAAGTTGACCAGAAAGGTGACGAATAGTAGTGGTATCATCATCGTGGCTTGACTTCCGAGTCAAGACTGGGAGGACGAAGACGTTCAAGGCGAAGCCTAGGATAACGGGACCTTGTTCGAGGTCACGGCATACTTTGCACCGTGTATGTGTGTGCATGTATCGTAAGTAACGTACGTTCGCCTGGTACAGCTCTGACTTTTTCGTCGACTCATCGCGTCATTCGAGTTCAATACCCTCTGTAGCTGAGAAGCGAGGCTGAAGAAAGTAGTGAGAAAGATTCTTCTCTAAAAAAACAAAAAATTATTTTCAAAATTTAAGGAGAGTTTTCTAAGATATTTCTCCGAGCTAGTTACAAGTAATTACTTATAAATAGTTTTTTATCCGATTCTTTTTCTTCGATAAATTAATTTTTTCGAATTTTGAGATACCACAGAAAATTAGAATTTCAGATTTTAAAATGTTATCTTTTTTTTTTAGTTAAATCAACGGAACTATATATTTCTAAAATGTGTGCGTGTGTGTGGGGGAGGGGGAAGGGGTATCAGAAACAATATTTCTACAAAATCTATGGAATTGTTAGGGGTCCAAATGGAATTTGCGTTAAAATTTACGGTGTAAAAAATTGATGAAGGTGCCAACTTCACACACGCCTTGGTTTATGGATCTGTAAATTTAGCTCGACATTCTATTAATGTAAAAATAGTAATGACAGTTTCAATAGCACTTTTCATAATTTTACAGTTTCTATAAAATAAAAAAGTCCTGCACTTTTTATAATAAAAAAAAAAGAACAGAAAAAATGAAAATATAATCGGCTAACTTCGCAAATCTAGCACATTTTCTCTTGTGTAGTACAAGAAAACGATAAATATTACTTTTAGCATAGTACTGTCCGAGCTTTTTGTTAGTTTACGATCGTTATGGCATGTTCTCATCAGTTATTAATTTCAACTCTCACGGTCCAATAAGATTTGGTATTGTTTTTCGTTAGTATTACTCGAATTCTATCAATTGATTAAGAATGGATAAGATGATCGTTCTTAAAATGCAGGAAATGTACTTTAATTTTTGTTATTATTGGAGTTGTTTTTTAAGTTACATATATTGATAGAAAACAAATTCTATATTGTACTAACAAGAATTGTTTGTCAAAAGAAGTAATCGTTTTCTTGTACTTCAGAGAAGGAAGTATCGTGCTAGATTCACGAAATTTGCACATCATATTTTTATTTTTTTGTTTTTATAAGATACTAGTTTTTATAAGATTATAGAACTATGAAAAATGATATTGAAGCTTTTTTTTTATATTATATTATTTATATTGAAATTATTTTTTTATATTAATAAAATGTGCTAACTTTAACGTCCTAGGTATAAGAATATATAACATAAAATAACGAAGAGTTTTTAGTCTTGACGTATATTTATTTAGTTACAAAAATTACAATATAATACAAATATTATACAAAACTGCAGCTATGTATTTACAAATAAATATTTGGAGTTTAACGCTGCTTGTCAATTTTCGGCGATAGGAACTCTTAGAATTCAGTCTATTCGTTGCATTGCATTGAGCTAGAACAGCGTTTATATGTCATGTACCCCATCATGTAAAAAAGATATCTAAGAGTTTGTAAAATTTCAACTAATATCGCTATTTTCTTATTCACTATATCTTATAACATTAAGTTCTCTTTGTACATTTGATCTTCTAATATTTCTTTGCTTTCACACACATAGTTATTTATAACAAAATATTTACAAAGATACTATTAAACAATTTAATAGCATACGAATCAATAATGTTGAATTATACATTTCGCAACGTATGCATCTGCATTTATACATTCTGTCTTTTTCTTGTTGACAATTTTGCTTAAAGAGAAAACTGATATTCTAAAATTCAGTTTAATATTAATAAATATATGTAATAATATTAATAATGTGATCTATTAAATTTTACAGCATTTTCATATAAAATTTTTTTCAAAAAAATATTATATTTATATTGGTCATTTCTATAAAAAGTATAAAAGATCTTTTTAAAAATCTTTATCGTTGAATATGTTTGATATATAATATGAATAGTGTGTATGTCAGGAATGTGAAGATGGTTTGTTTGCTTTCGTAGCAACGCGTTATATTTACCCTTCATTATGTATACTGTATTACAAGCGGAAGACCACGCTCTTTCATGAGAGCAAGTAAAGTCCCTGAGTTGTTCTTGCTAAGTTAATAAACAAGAAAAAGAATTCTATTAAATTTTTTAAAAGATTATCTAGCTTTTCTGAATCACGTTTGCCTTCTCGCATTTTGCGTTTTGCGTGCTCGTATTTATATCTTGTGCCTTTACACTCGTGCTAACATTCGTGTTTGTTTCGTTAACCCACAGTAGATTGTCTGTGGAATGACTATGGTGTCCGTGTTCCAAGTTGATCAGCACTCGATTCATTAGTTTATTTTGCAAATGTTGCTTCAAGATTTTCTCCTTTAGTATTTTTTCCGATTTTGTCAAGCCCTCCTCCACTTTACTATTTTTGTCACTCTTTATTCGATTTCTTCTAAATAAATATATAATAGGAATAGAACAGAAGAGTCCCACCGTCAATAATATAAAAATCAAAATTCTCAGATCGTTGACGTACTTAAATAGGTCCCAGATCGATATTTTGGGAGTCTTGCAGTCTCCAGTGTCGACAACAATTGGATAGCTACCTGGGCCGTCGTTGGTGGCTACTCTGACCAAATATTTACCGCACGGCAAGGAAATCTGTGCCGATTCACTGTCTGTTACCTGTAAGGATAGAATCAACTTTCAATATGCTAATAGAACTAATTTTAAACATCTGATTTTTAGGTTTTGACATTACTTATAGAAAATGTAGTTTTATTCGTTTGTAAGATATTTGATCCAAACAAGGTTTATAAATGTATATTTATAAATGCATAAAATATTTTGTTATTGGGAAGAAAATAAATTTTAATATCACTATTAAAATGTTGTTATCAACTTTTATTACTTTATTCCATCATTGATACCTTTTTTATTTTTTAAATTAAAATTCTTATTTTTCTTTCGAAATTTAAATATTATTTGTTATCAGAAAAATGCCATTTTACTAAAATTTTTAGATATATGAAAGAGAAAAGCATAAATGCAGAAGACTATTGTAAATGATATTTGTTAGAAACTTGATTTTTGATAATACATTTTGTTTTTTTCAACTAATTGTAACGGATTTAAGTTTATTTAGAAGCACTGCTTTGCTTCTCGGAACAGTCGTAAAGAAATTGAATCGATTCGTATTCCAATTCATTTACGAAACATTTAATTACCTGATTGCCCATAATACCGTCTCCCGTCTCCTCCTGCCAAGTAACAACGAAAGACAATTTATACTGTTTCTCTTTCACGGACTGGAATTTAAAGTAATTTGACGTAATCCTTTTGTGTTGATTCTTCAGTTGAATTTGCCAATCCTCCCATGTAATATAGGCCTGATAGAGAGGGCCACCTGCTTTGAGCAATTGTAGTTTTGGCCACCATTTATCCCAACTATAATAATAATAAAAATAAATAAGAGAAAGGAAATTTAATATATATCTTACTTAAAAATTACAGAAGAGTAATTAAAAAAAAAATTTTTTTTCAATTATAATATTTGCATTTTTTTTTTAAACAAACTCATCACAAACATCATTTAATGATAATCGTAATAACCAGGACATAGTATATTGTTTTTTGTTTTATGTTGTGGACACATCAAACCTTTATAATCTCTAACCCCATAACATTTTCAAACGTTCTTGTCAAGTATGAGATTTATCTCTGTCTAGACTTTTTGTATTTTTATATATATTATTTATATATATATATTCTCTCTCTCTTTCGTTTTGTGGAAATATCCTGAAGATCACATTAAAGCAAATAAAATACCTGTAGTGTTTGACCATGCCATCGTCCGTGGCGACGATGATCCAGCCGCCCGGTATCACTGCAGGCTGCTGTTTTGCGTAGAAATAATCTTCTTTTTCCCACATTCCTTTCTCATTTTTTTGCATTATTACGGCAATGTCATAGTTATTTAAATGGAAAGTTTTATTTTCTTCAGGAGCTGGTAATTTAGTCGGATCATATTTGTCTTCCTCCATCCCGCGCGTTTGATAAAATGTGTATGCGGTTTTGCAACCTTGAATCTGGAAAAGAAAAATATTATAAGATCACAAAAAAGTGCATAAGGAATGTATCGTATGTAGATATTATACATCAATTTGTATGTGAGATAATGATACAATTTTATAAGTGTATATTAATTGAAATTTTTCTATCGATTATCGATGAGTCGATTACTTTATGTGATTACATAATATTTTATAAATCTTAATTTCTTGCAGGATAAGTTAAAATTAAAAAACGTAAGAAGTAAATAACTTCTCTTCCTAAATCTTTAAAAAATTCTGATTTTTTTTACTAGACCCAACATTATCCATACATTGGAACTTCCTGGAAAATTGACAGGTAGCCATTTTCAAGGATTTTGCCCTCTACTATACTTTATCTATTGTACGAGATCGCCCTTTCTTTCCTGTAGAATTGATAGTTATCCTCAAACGACAATCGAGATTTTCTTCGCGCTTGAACGACTATCCCCTTTGCCCCGAGGCGTAATGAAGGACTAGAAAGACCGACCTGCGTTACCTGCACACTTGTAGGTTTGGAAATTCGAAGCCGCGATCAAAATTGACGATCTAAAATTGCGTGTAAATCTGCTTCGAAAAGATTTAAAAAAAAGATAGCTGTGATACGAATGAAAAAGTACCTTTCAAATTCCACTCGATTGTATCTTATATTATTTATATTTTTTATTGCGGAACAAATATTACATAAAAATATTAAGAATAGAGTAAAAATTTGGAACTATATTAATTTCGTACTTCTTTAAAATATTAAGAAAAAACATCTAATGTTTGTTATTTATAATTAAATAATTAAAAGCGGAGTATATATACAACATAAACAAAATATTATGTAATTGTATATGATATATAAGTGTGTAAAAATAGACAAATTAAATAAAATTGTATATAAACAAATTTAATGTACCTATACGTAATAAAGAAATATACATATAGGTGTTGATATAAATGACGAGTTTAACAAAACGTGAAATTTTTAGTCGTATATAATTTGTCTAAATTAAAATTAAATTAAAAAACTGAAATATAAAAATTAAAATACCAAATTAAATATAAAAGGATAAACACTTTTTGTTTACTTACATGAGATGTGTGTTTATATATTCGCGTGCAATCGATTTCTTCTTTGTTCCAAAAACTGAAGGTTTCACAAGCGTTCCAGCACTGAAAAAATAAATCTAAATGAAAATCTTATAACTTAATTTTGATAACGGAATTTTTTAATATACAATTTTTTAATTCAAAATCTTATTTTTAGAAATTATCGAATTCCTTGGTTTTTAAATTGCTAAATTTTTGAATTTTTAAATCTTTTTTTTAAAGAATTGAGAAGTCTAGATGAGAAAGATTTAGCGGCAAACAAAAACCTCTCACGGTATGTATGGGATGCACGAGAAGAAAGAGGAGTTACTAAAGGTAGAATGAAGAGAGGAGGTTTGATGTAGAAGAAAGGGCAAAAAAAACGTTGAATCAAGCGATTTAACGAGAGAAGAAGAAGTGAAGAAGGAGGAAAAGAGAGCGGAGCTCCACGAGAAGGTAAAAAAGGGGGGACAGGCGAAAAAGAAGGGGAACTGAATTAGCTCCAACCTGTTCCGGGCACAACAGGCATCGTCGTTGTCGTTGTCTTCATATTTATTGGGGTACCGACTCTCGAGTGGGCTCGCCCTGTTCCTAAATTCTTTTTGCCCTTTTCTTTTCATAGTCTATCTCTGTCCCTCCTTTTTTTCTCTCTCTCTTCCGATTCTCGATTACCCTTCTTCGTCGCGTACCCTTGCTAAAGCCCGAGTCTCCGCTTCGGAGAAACGAAAGGCCCTGTGGTTTCTTGCTAATGACATTTCCCGAAAGCCACGCCGAGATGTTCCCTCACTCCAAAAGAAATTCAGGACCACGGGTACATATTTTCATTTTATTAATTATTTTTATATCGTACAGTTAAGTAGGCTAATTATATTCCGTTTAAAATGTATATTGTATGATTTATTATTATCTTTTTTATAGAATCGGTCAATTTTCAGCACTGATTAATTAAAAATCCATTTAGTGTTATTTATTAAATTGTCAATCGATAGTAATAATCGGACTCAAGTTATCAACTTTTCTTTAATAAAGTAATAAAACAAGAAGTCATCCTAATATGAAAATTAATGACTTATATATCTGACGATGACTAGTAAAATAAAACATGGATGAAAAGAGCAGTAGTTAGAATATTTGTCGAAGGAAAATTGAGAATAATAGAACAGGGTCCAAAAATTGTGAGAAAATGGAATAGGGGAAAAATATTAGCTAGAAAAAATATATGTACACCATTGTGTGTGTGTGAAAAAATTGTGTTAAAAACACATTTTTTGTGCTAAATGATCCACTCAAATTTATGTGTTAGTTTAACAAGATGAATATATCAGAAGATACATAGGTATATTGTTTTTTTTCTAAAAAAAATATGCTTCCGTAAATTGTTTATATAGAAAAATACATTTTTTAAAATAGAACATCGCATTTTTTTTATTACAGATAAAAATTCAGTCTTAAAAAGACGTAAAACTTTTATTTTTTTAAAGAAGTAGGCAGAAGCTTTCTTTATTCCGAAAAACTATTATTTCTCCTGTCGATTAAAACAATCATGGTCTTCTTCGTTCTTTTATCGTTTGATGTGTCAGTGTATGGATCGTCCTTTTTTCTCGAAGAGAAGGAAAAGAAGGTGACCAACTGTATAGTGTTCGTTAAAGGTTTATTCCCGTCTTTTCTGCAGGCTGTTATTCTAATGCGAGATGCTCCCTTGCCCCTGTATTCGTCATAGGGGCCCACGCATAAATTTGTACGTTCGGCCCCCTCGCTCTCGTGGGACACGAAATCGACGGATCTCCCGAAATTAATGGACACCCCCTTTAGCATAAAATGAGCAACGCCCTCGCGCGCGCGTTGTTGGACGTCTCCCGAATCCCCCCTGATTGTGATTCTCATCCATATGTGCTCAGGGGGTGGCGACCACACCTTGTGATTTTCCATAGCACTCTTTCAAAATCGACACCTAAAGATTTATCGATACCATATCCGATTTCCGGCTACAATTGGTGCCTCTTTTTGTCATGTAGGGTACGCATGACATTACGTTACTCGAACGGTTTCTTTTTTATTTTTAAAATTTAGAAACTCTTTATTAGAAACTCTTATTACAAACTCTTTGAGAGAAAAGGGCACTATAGGAGTCAGGCGCAGATAACTTTACGCAAATGCTGGTATATAACAAACAAAACTTCTTTATTCTAAAAATGTGCTTACATGTTTCGGCTTATTTTTGAGCCTTCTTCAGAGACAAAGTAGTAACATAAATAAAATGAGATCAAGAGATGTTTAATTTATTGCATAAGTTATCTGCTATATACTTGCGTAAAGTTATCTGCGCCTGACACCTAGTGCCCTTTTCTCTCAAAAAGTTTTTATTTGATTTATAAGAAGTCTTTGTTATTTAAAATTATGATATGTTTTTATTTTTAACAGAAATATCTGTGTAATATCAAAAATCTTTAAATACAAATTGTATTTTTTGTGTATAATTTTAAGTAAAAGACAGAAAACTTTATATTTATATATCCATTATAAATTTATCGGAAATAATTAAGTTTATTAATCGATTGATATTATTTTTACTCATTTTTGCAATTATTGGGGTACTTTTTAAATTCTTGTATGCTTTTTTTAGACCATGGTTTTTTTTAGTAGAAATATTAATATCGGAATATTTAAACTTGAAGTTAAACGATTATTTTGAAATAGAAGAATAATTCTCTTATGAGTTATTGTTTTATATATTTATATACATTTTTTAATTCCAAATTTTATTTTGTAAAAAATATAGAAGTTTGGTAAAATGCATATTATATATAAATGTTATATTATTGGTTTTTTGAAATATCGCAATAAAAATCTTGCAGTAAAAGTATACTACGCATATTGCATGCATTTTATAAATAAACTTTGTATTAACTGAATCTGATAATGGAATCGTAAAATCTTTAATTACTTTATCGATAGATTGCAAAAATTATGACAAATATATCTAATATTGTTTTGCGTTTACGTTTCCTGATTCTAATTTTGGTTTTAAAAGCAGCACAATTGATTCATGCTACTGATTAGAAATAAGATGCATTATTTTTTTGAAATTTTCCTTAAAGAAATTATTGCAATTATTTTATATATATACCAATTGCGAGAACCGAGGATTTTCTAGAATAGTTTAGAATATTGAAACTAGAAAGGATAATGTGATATAAGACGTTCTTATAATTACCAAATTACAGTCGTATACTCGGCTGTTGATATTATTTATGTTCAAGCAGTTGCCATCGACCATGTGATGTCGTAAGCACGATGATCGGCACTGTGCGATCTTGATGATCGGTCCGAGATCCAGACTGGCGGCTACCAAGGCCAAGGTCGCGCAGAATATCAGCGCCGGAAGCCATGCGATCTCCATCCTCATCCTCGATAACAAAGAACCTTATTCCTCACTTTTTTTCCACCACAAAATTACTATTATTTCCTTTCGATTAAAACTGCAAGATATTACGCGGTTTAATCAAGCACAGATCGTGCCGGCAGGACACGAAGGCCACGGGCGTGGATTCTACAAGCGGAATTTCGGTGCGACTGCAGTCCTTCAGGGTTTCGGAACCTCCTTATATAACCGCGCGTCCCCCACTGCGCGCTCCCCAAGTTTTCGTGGGTCCCCACCCTTACCGACTTGCCATGAAGAGCATCCCTCATAATTATACGTCGTTTCTCAGCATATGGCCTGCCCCGAGGTTTCAGTCCTGACCGAATTATTCGGCCTACATGAAATGTAGGCCAGTTTGCTGAAGGAATTGCGATGCTACAAATATTTCATAGCTTGGATTAGAAGATTCTTTGTAAAACAAGTAATTCTTTTTTCAATAACGAAAGACCTTGTAGATAATGATAAATTGAATAAATAAATAATAATTGAATTAAAATAGTATGAAAATGCAAGCTAATATTTAATGTAATTGATGTAGCATTTAACAATAAGTTTCTTTGTAACAAATTTTTTAAATGAGAAATAATTGATATTTTAAAAAAATTTCTTTAGTTTTTTTATTCTTTGAAAAGTTTTCCATCGATACAACGGCGATATCGAACAAAATACAAGAAATTAATTTAAATTTCCATTTAATTTTTTAATTATTTTATCCTTTTCAAGCCAAAAATGTGTAACACATAACGTGTAAGATATAAAAAATATATTTTGTAATTAAAAATTTAATATATACATAAATTATAACTCTTAAGTGTATGTTAATTGTAATTGTTATTAAATTCTAGTTATTATATTCTAATTAACATTAAATTCTACGTTATTACAAGATAAATAATATGATTTTCATACGACACACGAGCGACGAAGAACAAAATTTAATTTATCCCGTGAACAAAGTTAATTTTGATTCATATCCAAGTGCCGCCAAGTAGGTAGTTTTATTGTAGTAGAAAAGTGATTGGTTGAAAGTTATAAAATGACGTTTTTTGGGCCATATGCCGTGCAGAGTCTTATATTATGGACCAGAGCGTAGATAATTATAATAGGTCCTCAAAGAGTGCAGTTATTATGTGAAGATAGCAGAAACGATATTTGCTACATCATCTAGATATGTGTATGTACACTCATCCTCTTTTTTTTTAAATTGTACACTTGATTTATAATCAATTTTTTTGATAAGAAAGATTATTATCAAGTATTTCTGTATTAAAAATTATATTATGGTTTAGAGAGTTGTAGATCTTTTATTGGATAGTTAGGTGCATATAAGATATCTTAAAACTTATCTATATACATATAAATGTATAACTATTTAAAAAAATTTTATCTTATTAAATCAGAAATTTACTGAATGTATTTGTTATTTATACACACAGAATTTAAAATTTCTAAAATTATTTGTAATACGTTGCTAATATTACTAATAATAACTGTCTTTAACTTTTTGGATTTCTCAGAAGAAAACGGTCACGCTTCAACCTTACCATCATGGTCACGAAATTTAAACGTAATTAGGCGTTCCGCCTATCCAACATCCGGAGAGTCTTGATGTAAGAAAGGGGGTGGGGACAGAAGATCCAGTACGGGTCCTTGAACGGAAACAGACGTAGTGTGGATCAAATGATCGACCAACCCATCGAAGTTTAATATTACACCGAGAAAATTCGTTGCGTATTTCCCGTTCTCTTCACTTAGCAGGTACATGAACTGTTCCGCCCCTCCTTGCAATCGGAAAAGAAAAATAAAAGTGGGCGAAGAACGAAACGCAAGAAACGGACTTCGTTCGCTCGCCGGAAGTCGGGGCCCGTGGGTGCCGCGCACTACGTCACAATGCACAGGATGTGTACAAATAAGGGTATTTGTCCATGGCGGATGATTGTAGGGTGAAATATACGTGACGCTAAAACGGAGGAACGAAAAAGCCGGGTTGCATCCCTCGCGCTTATGTCTGACGGTATAAAATAGAAAAGGGGCCGGAGCAATCCATTCATCTAGGCGACGTAGTTTAGGGGTGGTGCACACGGATCGCGAAGGCTCCTTCAATGGACGCGAGAGTGACGTTTCATTGTGCGCCGCGTTTTTCTCACACCTGGACCAGCACGGCTTAGCTCCGCATCGTTTCGCTTTGCTTGAACAAAAATATTATTTTAACATGCCTATAGCTTCTGCGCACGGAATTCAAGAATAATATGTGATTTACGTGCTGATTAATCAGTCTCCTGGTCTTTTGTCAATAACAATTACAATTAGTCGCTTCTTGCCTCTTGCATATAACTGCATTTAACATGAGCCGCTGGCCTTTATACAATCTATTTAATATGAGTAATAACTTTTACGTTAATTTGGTTGAGCTGTCTTTCTCGTTTCTTTTTTTTTTAATATTATATTATATTTTCTCAGAGATAATTTCTTTAAATATTTCTGCAATTGAAAAAATCATTATTACTATTGTTAAATATATGGCAACAACTCGATTTATAACCAAAATTAAAACGAACTAAAGGACTCTTTTTTTGTACAAAATAATAAACATAAAAATGGCATTGTAAGAGTTAGATAAATAAGAAAAATTTTTATAAACGACAAATTAAACCATATATTCTAAGTTTTATCTATTATGACAGTACTTAAAAACTAACTTAAAATATAACAATTTATAACAACATCCATAAATCTGTAAATTTATCTAATATGCAAAATATGAGGATCTATTTTATTTTTTAAAATTTTATCTTTATTTTTTCCCCTGTTATCCATTTGCAATATATTTGTTCTTTTTATCCCACAAATTCCGATTATTTAATGATGTTTATGGCCTTAACATTTTTAAATGACGGCTTTGGTTATTCCGCCGTAGATATAGAAATATTTTTCTAGTAATCTCTCTCTCAGTAAATATATTCTTGTCTTGTTTTTTTTTTTTACGGAACTTTACGAAGGAATAACTATGGCGCCGTTTCTCACTCTGCAAGTTCTACCATATTTCTTATAAACGCTGATTGTTTATCGGCTTTGTGTGTAATTCGGGGAACACGAGGAATTATATAGGTCGTGCGATTTTCCGTACGATTATGTCTATTTTCCAGGATTTAGTTCTATCCTGTAAGAGGCAGAACTAAGACCCTCATCTCTCCTTGTCAGTCGTTTTCTTCGTCCTGCCGTGATCGAGATTTAGATTATATCTATTGCTCGTATTTTATTGCAACTGCTTTCTCCGCACACGCTTTTCATTTCGTATTCTGCAAAACGTTTGTTGTCTAAGATAGAACTTTAGATCTTGTTTCATAAAATATAAAAATTAGTAAAGAAGAATATTTTGATAATAACTTCACTTATTATTTATGTTATCGTCATCATATTAATTATATTGCATTATTTTAGACGCAAAATTATTTAAAATCCATGAACGTAGAATTAATCTTCTTGTTGAAAATTGTGACAATTTATTGATGACCCAGAGCGTATCATTTGCTCACCATTTGTCGCATGATCTTAAAGAACCGTTGACTAGCAAAGCGGAAAATTCAGATCGATTCGTTTCATCGAAGAAGGAAAGCGAAAGCTCTGAAAGGCAGTTTTCGCGTCAAATGTGCCAGTGACAAATTTTTATTGTAGTCGCCTCGCTTCCTTTACTCTTCAGTCTGTGCTGCCGTGCGGAATAAGTTGCGGTGCAGATATATTTCTCTAAACGACAGGTGATGGTAAAAGTCGCTATTGAGGGACCTCGGATTTCAACTTCTCTACGAAGGAGGATTTTAGCGGGGATCGACATGGCTATACGTCTGACAAATTCTCAAAAAGCAGAATTTATAGTCCATCCAGCCAGCGCGCAGCGGTGGGACCTCGAGTCAAAAGCATGGTCGGAGAGTTTATGACTTTGTCGTGACAGGACTTTCTGCTTTTCTTTGCCCGTCTTCCATTTCTCTGCGTTATATTGTGAACGCGCTATATTACGGCATATTACTACAGGAGATTGTGTTATTGAGTTTCAAAGCTTTTCACTTTCGTGAATATTGTCGTTCTGTATAATATAGGAATAAGATCAAAATTGTTTCAGTTTTTGAATTTTTAATCATGCATATTGATATATTTATATGATAAATCTTAAACTTTCGATAGCACAACGTATTGTATCTCATTGATGAAAACGAAATTATTTTTTTTAATTTGTTATGAATGATGGCATAATAATATTAATTGTTAAAAAAATACATGTTATAATATATGCATATTGTGCAAAATAAGAATTTAAAAATCTTGAAATTTTTTTAGTATCTTTACTTTTAGAATCGTCCGTATCTTTTGTTACATATTTTTTTAACATGCTCACGAAAAAGCGGAAATATCGCTTTTATTGATCTCTTTGAGAGAAATTAGAATCGGTCGCTTTTTTACAAAAATTAGGATAATACCGTACAATTTTTTTGCATCATATATTATCTGGAATCCCATTCAATGACTTTGAAAATATGGACTTCGAAGGTTTCGATACGCTAATTACTTACACAGTGATCTGCGGCCAAGCAACCCGAAAAGTCTCGTCAGTCCTTTACCGTCATTTTTCTGAAATAGAAGAGATTTATATGCTCTGACTTTTTGCTTCAAGGTTTTGCTTATTCCATTGTAGGGATATTTAGTTTTTCTTCCCTTTTTCTATCAATATGGTGATGATTATTATTTGTTGTGACCGAAAAATCATTACCTTGATCTATATCCACGGTTACTATACTGCAGTTTTATTTTTGGAAAAATCGTTTCTAGCGCTGTTAAGCTATTATTACAGAAGTGTCTCCACAAAATTTGTGTCGTGATACTATCATATTAACCCTTATGCTCACGTCACATTACGCATTGGAAATTGAGAATTGCGAATTAAAAATTGCATTATTTCTGCATTTTATATAATATTGTGTATAAAT